CTGAGAATCTCCATAGATATTGTCCGAAGATGCTTCTGTGATCATGCGGCTGGCATGACTATAACAACATAGAACATTGTTAACCTTCCCGCCTGTTGGGATATATTTATCTACTTGAATTTGCATGCTTTCAATCTGCTAGGTTAGCAGGAGCTGGAGCAAGAATGGGAGTTCACCCAGTCATGTGATGCTTGGGACAGATTTGCATAATCCATTACATAGAGCAATGGTTCTCATCCTTCGCAGATTTAAGATGTGTTCTGGGGAATTCTGGGAGTTGAATTCCACATCTTAAAGCTGTGAAGATTGAGAAACACTGGCATAGAGAGAAAGTTTGGATTATGCAGAATTAATTAACGAGATATTTATTAAGACCTGTATTTTCTTGCTGATATCAATCTGTAGAGTAGATGACTTCTGCAAAACAGAGTTACAGATGGTGTAAAAATGTTGAACCATTATTACCCAAGACAAATCTGCAGTTATACTGGTTATGTTTTGTTGGCTGTCATTTAAATTGTCAGGCACAATTCAAAGTGCTGTTTCTGACCTACAAAGCTGCTTCTTAGGACAAAGGCTAACAAATATGCTCAGGTGCTGCATATCTAATGTTTTTACTTAGTGCTCTGACTTCCATCTCATCTACTACAGGGATTAACCATTTCTTTAGGCTGCTTAATACAATTGGAATACTAAAGAATAGTGCACATTTTCCCATAAAATGGCTGCTGTGTGTAAGTGAGCAACAGAGTTACCTGTTCATAAAATGACTCCAAGACTTAGCCATTTCCCCAAAGGCCAACTACTCCACATTCCCTCTAACCCTTGGGTCTTTTCAATCATCCATCATTGTATTTTTTTTTCCTTTTTGCTTTTTCTGAATAGGCAATTACACTTCTTGATTAAGCACTTTTCTTGGATTTTTTTCTCCTGCTTTTAATTTTCTAAGTCTGTTTCTAAGGCTTATTGGGGTCCAGAAAATGCTTGTAATTCTTGTGCATAGACAGTAATATTCAGTCCATGGTCTACAGACCACAGATTGTCCACAGGCTTTCTGCATGTATTCTTATGATCCCTAATGAATGTATTTTATTTTTCTTTATGTACACTGAGAGCATATGCACCAAAGACAAATTCCTTATCTGTCCAATCACACCTGGCCAATAAAGAACTCTATTGTATTCTATTCTATTCCCAGTTAGCTGGACAGAGATAGTTCATCTTCACAACACCTGCCAAGCCCTAAGGGATTGAAGGCTAAAATATATGATGAATGGTTGCAGGAACTCAGTATGTCTAGTCTAACAATGAGAAGTCCTGATAACAGTCTTTTAGTACTTAAGGGGCTGTCACAGAGAAGGAAGTTTACATATTCTCCAAAGCATAAACCTAACCCTAACCCAAGGACAAGAAGTAATTTATGGAACTTACCAAGGAGAAATCTAACCTTGAACTAAAGGGACATTTCCTGACAATGAGAATAATGAATCAGTGGAACGGCTTGCCTCCAAAAGTTATGAGTGTTCCATCACTTTTTTAAAGAAGAGATTGGAGAGCCATTTGTCCAGAATAGTCGAGGGTCTCCTGTCTGAGCAGGAGGTTGGATTAGAAGACTTCCAAGATTCCTTCCAATTCTGGTATTCTGTTTTCTGGGAAATAGTGATAACTTTCAGGAATAACCAGTAGGGTTTCCATCATGCCTATGTATTAACTTCAAGAAAGAGATTTTTATCAGTAAGGAAAGAAAACAATTAAATGCACTCTCTGCATCTCTTCTGAATCTCTACTTATAAGTTTCACACATGCAGAAACACTTGACAAAACTGAAAATTAAATGCAAATATGCATTAATGTTTGCTCCTTAAATGGAAACTGCTGATTCCAAAGATACCAAGTAGTTTCTTTTCTCTGAACTATATTTCAAGCTCTTTATTTGAAATAACCTAGTATAGTACTGTTAAAAGAGAAGAATGTTACGATAAAGGGGAACCCATTTTTTTTCTTCCTGCTGAACTGATTTTGGCTAGGGAAATGGAAACTGGGAACATGTTGGCTGTTTTAAAAAGTATCACATTGTAGGCATTTTTTTTAAAAAAAGCTAAATCATTTCATTTTTAAAATGGGTTATTGGAATTCCACTCTGTGCGCACGTCTTTTAAGTGTGCTAGAGAAAGAGTTTCATGAACAGGTTTCTTATATTAAGATAGAATAAACACACTTAATTCTCAGCTGCTATTTCAAAGGCTTTGTGAACTGCCAGAAAGTATTTTTGCTCAATGTAGTCTTGATGGTGGTATTACAGAGATGTACAATATGCTGTATACAGATGTTGCTTTGTTAATTGTCAATTTAAACGATGCCTTTATAGTCAGAATCGGTGGACCTTAGAGGAGATGTGAGAGATAACAGAGCACCGCTGGCATTAGTCTGGATATGAAATGTGTAGTAAAAATAACCACAATCTAACACAATTTACAGCCCTCGGGAACATTTCATTCTGTGCTGTATTTTAGCCAACAAATTCCTTTACAGCACAATTTAGCATAATTTATGAATCCACTTCTGGTTGGCACTAGTACTTTTTTTTAATTTGATAATGCTGCTAAGGACAGAATTTTCAATGGCTTTTTCTTGAAAAAGAACAAATTCCAGATATCCAAACAAATCAGGTGGTGGGAAAAAACCTGACCTAAGAGATCCACTAACTGGTGTTAATATAATTTCTGTTACTTGGGGCACCAACACACAATTGTAGTCACAATCTAGACTTTTATTTTGCCCCTATTTGGTGTTATGAACTTTAGTTTTAGTCAATAAATAAATCAGCACATTTTTATTTACCTGGTTTCAATTGAATCTTATTCATTTTGGCAAGTAGTAGTAGATTGTCACCAATGCTCTTATCTGATTGCAGACAATAGCCAGAAATGTGAATTGTTATGCGTGTAACTTTGTACAGTTGTAACTTTGATCTTTGGAATATTTTTGCAGGATGTGATTTTATAACCTAAAAGGGAGCCATTGCAGCTCCTCATGTTGACAGAATGAAAAAGAAGTAGGCCCTTTACAAATTACCTGCAAAATCTATGTTCCATCTAATACTTCTAACTTTCTGTGTGAGGGGTAAATGGTCCAGTTAGAAGCTGTGTCATCTAAATTTTGGGCAAATTATGAAGAATTGATATGCAGAGCACATATAAGGTACCTAGTAGGAATGAAAACACAATTAGATGTTTAGAGCTCATTTCTCACTTCTGTCTTATCTTCAATGTACTCTGAAGCTCTACCACATGAATTGTAAAGCATACTTTAAAACAATTTCTATTGAATTCAGATGAGCCAGCACTAAACTCAACAATCTGACAAAGGTGGTACTGTTAGACAAATTAGATTAGCATCCCTCATATCTGTTGTGTAAATCTGAGATGTTCATGACTTGGACTCTGCCATATTTTAAACAGATTCTGAAGCCTTGGCTTTTTTTTTTTAATCTCCAGGGATTATGGTGCGATTTGGACCTCCTTTGTGAGGGATTTTATGGGTTTATAATGGATGTTTGCTCCACCTGAATGATTTCCCCCCCTGATGTTTGATACCCTTGTTTTTAGTTATGTACACCACCCAGAGTTGTTGATGAATTGGGCAGCCTTTTAAATGTATGATAATTACATATAGAGTTATGCATATTGGATTATAACACATATGTACTTATAGGATTCTACCCCTCTCCCCAATTATTTCTACCCATTCTATGGGTAGGCATCAAATAGACAGTATTGTCTGGTGGGACCAGAACAAGAGCCTTTTCTGTTGTGGCCCCCACTCTTTGGAACCTCATTCCCCCTGAGATTAGATTGTCCCCCTTCCTGTTGGCCTTTGGTAAAGCCTGCAAAACTTGGTTTTGTGCTTGAGCTTGGGGCTGTAGGTATGGATTAGAGCCTGCTCTTGGTTACATGGACATTAGATGAGGTCATGTCCAGCTGCTGTGCATTTTTATTTTTGTTTTATATTATTTATTTTGTGTTTTTCTTTGCTTTATTCTAAGATAGAGTTACATGAAAGTGAAATTGGTGGCTATATAAATCAAATAAATAAATACCACATAATGGCAGAAATCAAATGAAAGGTACAAAGGGTATCCTAGTTCTATTAGTTGAAAAAACTCAGAAGCATGAAACAAAGCCAGTCCATTAAATCTCTGTAAAGGAATTATTTTGTGGTATAAACCCTAGCAGTCTCAGAATCCCCCTTTTTAATTGTAATAGAAGTACAGTAAAAGCTTCAACAGTGCAATAACTGTGCAAAGCGCTGAAAGAAGAGCTTTGTGCAGTGTGTTGGCCAAGCAAAGCTCTCTTCATTGAACTATTGAAGCATAATCCACTGGCAGTTGCAGAGGTCTTGTGGGTACATGCACACAAATGCAAAGGTAATTCAGGAAAGCTCTTGCAGATGTCCCAGGCATCTTGATGGATACAACTGCCTTTCTGCTTAGAAAAGGGAAGTTTCACATGCTAATATGCTTCACCGTGTCTCTCTTCACATGCTCTGCACAGCCCTAATAAACATAAACCAATGATTTTATGGTTATCATGAGACACAGAGTTACAGATGTTGAGGTTCTGGAAGCTCTATAGTTATATATTTCTCTCTCCCATCAGTCTTAAGTGATGGGGAATTGAACAAGATAGAGAGGAACTGATCTACTTTGACTGTGTCATGTTTGATTTTGATAATTATATATCACTTGGAAGCTAATTAGTTGGGCCATTAGATTTACTTCCCATTAATGAACATTGTGGTTTGCTGCAGAGAATATGGTAGATGAGCATGGGTATCACATTGGCTAAGGGTTGCTAAGCTTCAGAGATAATGCTCTGCATGTTGAGACTGACCATTGTCTGCATGTATTATGGAAGTCATATAGAACTGCATTGCATTTTCAGATATCTTTATTTTGTACTGGTGTTTCCTAATAGGCTCCTTTTCTCTTGCTTTTTAAGGTGTGCTTTCTCTGCCTGCCTACTTCAGTCCTTACAACGATGGATCGATATGCAGCAATGGAAGAGCTGATGCTTATGCCCAGCTAGAACTTCGGACTCTAGAACAATCTCTCCTGGCAACTTGCGTTGGAAGCATCTCTGAATTGAGTAAGCGACATAAGCACCGATAGGTTATTAATTTATACAGCATATGGGACCTTTCCCTAGGAAGATTAGGAGGAAATATTTTGCATTTTACCTTTGTTTTGCATGTGCTGACACTGGAAAATACATTTCAGGACGTTTTTCAGGAAAATAAGATCCTCTTGTTGGATATTTCAGAGTTTCATACAGTATTACAAAGAGATTAGCTTCTGCCCCCATCAGATTATTAAAACTGTCATCACTTATAAATAAATGCAGTACTTTATACATGAAACATCTTCTTACTCCAAGGGATTTAGAATCTAGAATTCTGTATGTGGAAAGCAACAGGAGAAAAGGAAAGGTAAGAATGCCTTCAAGTGAAGCTGATCTCCTAGAATCTGCAGCTATACAGGTTTTTTGACAGTTCTGCAGAAATTTACTATTCATTTCATCTGTATTGCTGTTTCAACATCACATAGTGGCTAACAGCCCTAAAATTTCAAGGTGCCCCCAAGTTCTAATCAATCTAATCACCAACCTTGCCTAATTTCTGAAGTTCTGACCAGGTGCTGTCAACTGATAAAGGAAGCAATTCAGTAAGAAGAAAATGGGGGACAAGACAGATGAGGAGAAGTATATCTTTCAATGTCATGTTTTTCAGTTTAGTTATTTTAGGTAGTTTTGATCAGGAATGTTTCAGAGATTTAATGGGAAACACATACTTTATGAGATGTAAGAAAGAATGACCTTATCAAGATATTAGAGAGAACATGCCAAGCTGAGAGAAAGGGTTTATCCCAGGGAAAGAAGAAGACATAAAAGAGTAAAAGCTATCAAGGATTTTGAAGCCAAAGATAAAAATCACAGCATATACATAGTCTAGCAATGGATAGGAATCTATTTATTTCACAGAATTGGAGATACTTGAACACTCAATGATTGATATCAACTGTATGCTGAAATTGTATACATTTGTGAGTGCTTGCCACCTATTTTGGCACCAGTACAGTACTACAATTGTTTTGATAAGTAACAAACTAATTGAAATGGACGTCTGAAAGTAGCAACTGTTTATGCTGCATTTGCTTTGCCAGCCATAGATTACATCCCACTTAATGTTTGAAGGACCAGCTTGTTTTCCACTCCTGCTGAAAATTCCAGAGAGAAACTTGTGGGCCCCAGTATTTGGCTAACATGCCACATCCATCCTAAAGCCCATGAATTTGGCAAACGGATGAATCATACTCAAATGCCAAAAGGGCAACTTTCCAGCCCAAGAGCCAGTTAGTAATAGCAAAATAAATAAATAAAACTTCTAATGTGTGTTCTGTGTTGCTTTTAAAAAAAAACACAGACATAACAGAATTTTATATATATAAAATAAGCTATAAAAGTCTATTTATATTTTGATTAATGTAAACTATGTTTTAGGGTGTACTGTATACTACTTAAAGGATGCTTTGTAGACTTATTTTTCCCCTGGAAAATGTTGGTCTTAGCATATCTCCTCTTTGTTTATTATCATCATCTGAGTGGGACTATCAGAAATCAATCCATGCCTTACAGGGCTCACCATTTTTTTAATGGCCTGCATTAATTTGAGGTGTTATCTAAAAGAAAAAAAGTTTAACACATATGTAGAGTGTATTCTGTAATGCAGGAATGTTCTTATGGCATCAGTCCATGATTAGACACAGCTTCCTTTCCCCACTTTGTAATTTGGCAAGTTCTCTGATTGCCTTTAATGAAATCTCGTATAATCTCTTGCCTGAAAATTTGAATCCAAATGTACATCTTTTGTAGAAGATTTTACAAATTTGCACAGAAAAAAATCCATTTCTTTTTATACGGGATACGCATCTTTTTGTACCTATAAATACACATTAACAGAAGACTCAGAAAATTGTAATTTACATTTTAAGATATAATATTTAGTCAAATTTTCTTTTTAAAAAGCTATAATCTTTTCCTATCCTAAACGGGTAAATTTTCAAGCTTAAGTAAGTTCAGTGAAATCAGTGCATTTTACTCACTAGTAAGGGATATATATTTCAGTGAATACTAAACATCCTGCTATTTAGATGTGAGGCCCACATTTCCTTTTTGCAATGATAAGAAATAAACATTCACATTTATATGACTTTTTAGGAATCAGTCTTGAAGTCCTTAAACTTAGCAGTTCCCTCCTCTTTTAATTCTGAATGTAGAAGCTTCTTAAGTTATCATACTTAGCTCCATAAACTTCAGTGTGCATACCAGTTATCAAAGAAATACATGCTCTGACGCAACCTTAGCAGAAGCAAAAACAGACTTCTTGTCACAAAAAACCCTTCTTTATTTACCTCTTGTGAATTAATTGTATTCACCCACCAACAAGTCCAGACAATAGTCTTTCAAAGAGTTCACTGCAGTCAGTAACAGACCTTATCAGTTCCTTGCGATAATTGCAAGGCCTGAGCTCCCAGCCAAAAGGCTGCAAGCAGTCTTTGTGGCAGTAAACACAATGAGCAAAATATTCAGAAATATGAACTGTTGTCTCCTATGACAACCACTCCTCTTTCCTTCCATTTATTTCCCAGTCAGGGAGAGGCCATTCCGCATCCACATGTGCTTTGCTTCCTGAGTCGATTCGTTGTCCTCCATTGTTCCCCTCTCCTAACTGCTCTGTGCATAAGTGCATCTGGAACAGGTCCCAGCTGTTCTTCCTCCTCACTCATATCAGCCTCCAAAGGCAGCTGCCTCTCCGGTGGCTGGGAACTGTCGGACAGCCCTGGGTCTATCTCTGCGTCCAATGCAGAGCATTCATCAGAGCCTTCCCCAGACTCCAGAACTGGCCAAAGTTGCACCCCAACCTCCTCATCGTCTGAGTCTGCCACGAGTTCCATTGGCAGCTGACGGGCCACAATATTACAAATGGACAAATATCAACTATGATACATTGAGCATATTATATATTCAGATCATATAGTATCTTTTCAATTGCTTTAATAAACTATGGACAGTAGCTCAAATTCATGTTGTCCAAATAAACCAGAAAAAGAAAATACAATTTACTGATGACTTCTCTTTCTAGCTTGTTCTAGAAAAAACTAGCCAAATTGTCTGTTGAGATGATAGGGAATAAAATTCATTCTCATAACATTAGCATTTAAAGAAACCAGAATTCAGGAAACCATTGAATATGTATGTAACACAGTATGTATACTACAAAAAAAATCACTTTGTAAGTTGGGATACTGAGCCAATCATTAGCATTAAAAAGCAGGCTTTCCAGATTCCAATCAGAAGTTGAAATTAATGTAAATGGCATAGATATAGGTTTTAAAACATGGTTTGCATTCAAAAGGGTCTTAGAATGAACTGAAACAGAATGTCCTTTCACCTCTCACCTTTTAGTGAAGAAGAGGTGAAATAGCGTCATACTTTTTGAAAATACAACCGTTTTGGTTTCTACCTCTACTCCCTTTCCAGGTGATTTGGTATCACGAGCAATGCACCACATGCAGTGTTTGACTACCCTTCGTCCTGGCATGAGCCCTGTTCGGCAAACCAGGCAACAGCAACCACCCATCACCTGGTCCCCCGATGCCCTCCATACCCTTTACTACTTTCTACGCTGCCCTCAGATGGAATCCATGGAGAACCCCAACCTGGATCCACCAAGGATGGCCTTGAGTAATGAACGGTAGGTCTTTTCCTCTCCGTGCTCCAAAATGACTTTTCAAGTTAACAGAGCTTCACTTTGTAGAACATTTTAAGACTAGTTTGTTTGGTGAATTCCACGGAACCAGCCTTCTCCAGTCATTTCTGTAGCACAGCCAAGACATTTCCTTAACTTGGCTAATATGCTGGAACTGGAACTAGAGTGTTACAGAGGAAAGGCTGGAAAGGACAGAAGTGTTCCAGGGTTGTTGTTTTTTTTAATGTTTGTTTCTCTGTTCCAGACATGTTCAACTTTAATTCCCATAGTTCCTAGCAAACGTTTAAGGCACATAAATAACTTATATTTTTATAAGAAAACTTTGTAGATCATTAAAAAATAAGGATATTTTCGCAGATTCAGTACTTATTACCATTTTAATAACTGCTCATGGGCCACTTCTAATTTCTAATTTTCCCCCTTGCATACTGTTGAGAGTTGTTGATCTAAGCAGATTTCAGATACAAATATTAGATTTTAAGCTTCCTTGAAAAACTCTTTTTCTAGTTGGACATGAGACAGAAAGAGGAGAAAGCTTGGTTTGTTTTTCAAAATGTGTCTCTGGAATATTCCAAAATCAATATACATGCTGCAAAAATTATTGGTTGTTTTATAAACTTAATATGGAGAATCTTTAAAGCAATGCTTAAAATAATAGACATAGGCACTGATACAACAGATCAAGGGTAATATAATTGTGGGTGTCTTAATAAAGCACTGTTTCAAAGCATTTATTCTACTAATGCTAATCAGAGCAGGCGCACGTGGGAATGCATCAAATATATCCACTATTCTACTTCCAAGAAATGGATCAATAATATTCCTTTTTTCTTCTTCTGGTGTTCTTGTCTCCTGATGCACACCAGAGAATTTCACGTGCAGATCCATTTCTCATCTACAAGTGCAGCCCTTTCTGCATGCATTATAATTTTTAAGCTCAAATTCACGCATAGGTAAATGCAAGCTGGAAGGTAACAGACTCAGAACGATGTGGCTGTTGCTGAATAAAAATCTAACCAGCCTTTGAAAGTGGTTTTTAAAAAACCCTGTGCTTTTTCACAATAAATCCAGCGCTTTCCATTTAATGTGGCCAGTGGGATATATACTGCAAGGGATACTATATACACAGATTTCTGTTTATTTCCAGCAAGAGGAAAAAGTAAATTGAGGTTATTTCTGAGTATGCCAGATCCGCAGCATGCTGCATAAAGGCACTGATTCACATACCCTTTCTTGGCAAGGCTGTAAGAGCCAGCCTTTTTTTTTAACTGTTAGTGCTAATTCAGCTGCAAATTTTGCATTACTCCATTGTGCCTCCTTGAGCTTATGAAGTATGCTTTTGAAGGCATTGCAAAGCTAAGGCAGGAAAAAAAATCTCAGTTTTAAAGCAAAGGAAATCTTTGAAGATCAGCTGCGCTATGATTATTTTTGAGATGCCTGTGAATTCTATTAATGCTTAATGCAGTCATTTTAAACATCGAGAAAGCCGATGCACATTTTTTGTCATTCCTATCGTTATTTTAACTGGCGTGCATTAGAACAAGCTTCCCCAATCTGCCACCCTGCAAGGGTATTGAATTTCAGATCCCGAAGCCTTTCAGGAGCCCAAGATTAATTTTGTGAGAACTTGCTTGCTTGTTATTCTTTCAGTTGGTTATTCATAAAATTCTCTTCAACCTTTTTTTTTAGTATTTCAGTTAGTGGAATAACTGAATAATAACTACTAAATTTGAGGAGAGCAGGCAGAAAAGGTCTTAGTTCTCTTCTTTTGAGCTTTCTTTTATTTTAGTCTCATTTTCACCTTGTTCCAGATCCTCTTTCTGCCTATAAAATGAATTCTGTGGACATCTTACCTCCCATCCTTTCCTCTTCCTCACTGCACACACTCAAACATCCTTTGGGCCCAAATGTACAGTGTCAGTTTGAGAAAATAAATATATATTACTAAGTATATGAAGCCCAGTCTGTATTATGCTATTCATTGTTACCACATTGATTCACAGGACTTCCCTTAACTATATTTTATATTAGAAATGGACATTCTATGCAGACTAAGCCACGACTTCTGAATTCAAATGTAATACTGAATGTCAAATGATGGTTTGGATGAATGATTAGGATGACGTCATCCAGTAAGCAAAGTAAAGAATCTACTTTTTATTTAATGCACTATGAAAACCCAGCCACCTAATAACTTTCCATGAAATATTCTCTCTCAGCCTGCCTTACTTCCCAGGGTTACTGTGAGGATAAAGCTGGAATGATAAAAAGACTACATAAAGTGAGAAAAAGGCAACATTTTTTAATGTCACAATCATGCTGGACATTGGTTAATCCCAAGTCTTGTATTTGTTGCATTCATACCTCACCTTTTTTTTAGAAGGTCTTAGTAGCATTGTATAATCATGTTTAGTTTCAAAATTATATTATGAGATATATACAGAAAGAGACCATAGTCATCCAAGAACCACCAAAAAGATTTGAATTTTGAACTTCCACCCCTGAATTTCAAACTCTACTGATGAAGCATATCTACTCACTTCTCCTTACTCCCACCTATCATTGACTTTCTCATGAACCATGATGGCTTGAGAAACATACATCTGAAATCATGCAAAGTACCTCTGCTTTTAATTGCCGAGATGGACGTTTTATTTATTGGATTATTTTGTTAAGCAACTAAAATAAGATATATAGGTCTTCATTCTTTACAACTATCCTTAGAATAAATGCTAATACTAGTCACTGAGCTTCATGGCTGGATTGATATTTGAACCTTTGCATTCCCAGTTCAGCCACATTGTTTCCCATGTCACTGGAACATATATGGAAAAGTTTTTGAATATAGGCATGTGTTAATTTAAGTGCACATATCAAGAAGTCTGTCTACTACTGTGGACTCATCTGAAATGATATTTTGCAACCTGCTGGAATGCTGCACCTGTGTGCTAAAATGTGATGAAGCTCTTTGCACATTGAGCAAATCCTTTCTGCCTAAGGGTAATAATATCTATAAGATCCCATCATCAAAGAAAATATGTTAGCAGAATCCATATGTATGTGTGCTTCAGTGCCTCTTTGATTTCACAGGGATCCATTACATAGCAATATATTTTAATGTACAAAAAGTAAACGGGTGTGGTTACATCATTGAGTAATTTTGTAACTTTTCCATCACTCATTTTAGCATTATTCCATTCTATACAAAGAGAACCTGAATTCATTTTAGGAAGTACCAGAAAAGGAAATCCCGTTGTTGTTGTTTTTGAATCAATATTGGCAGAGGTTTATGAGCTGTCCAGTTTGCCAGTACCTCACATTGTAGTATAATCCTTTATGGGGTTCTATTAACAGCAAAGAAATCAGATAAACAATTATAACTGTAGAGTTGTCTGACTTGATACCCATTAGATTGGGTGGACTGATTGATCAGGATTATAAGCATTTAGATTATAAGCATTTTGTGTTAGGACTAAGAGGAACCATGCCATCCATCTAGAAATACACTGCAAAAGTCAGAAAATGCCAACTTCATGGAAACAGCGTAGGATGGAAAAGTGGGGGGAGAACATCTAATTTAAACAAAAGAGATCTTGTTCTAGTTTTCAGGCATAGTATTTGTAAGGATTTGTGGCAATCGGTGTATGGGTAAGAAAGCTGCAAAGCATTTTGGTTAGCTACTGGACCAAATACATAGTGCAGATTATGTTATCTTTTATTTCCTAGCTACTGCCCTTTTTTTTAATATGATGTGACAGTTTCCTGTTTGAAAGAGAAGACTTCCTCTTATTCTTATATCTTTGGTAAAGCATAACTTTGAAAAAAACCTGAGAGGCTCAATGTGTTGTTGTCATCCAATAGGTGATGGATCTTCCAGGCTCTTTATCCTACCTGAACATTTATATTTTAAAATATTTTTAAGTATAAAAATTGGCAAAACACTGGTCTCTAACTTCTTACTCACAAAAATTCTGTAAGCTGAAAAGTTTAATCAAAGAACATCTGCAATCCAGTTTAGAAATTTGTCTATGTGCCCAGGAAAAAAAAACCTAAAGAAAAGCAGGATCAGTAGCAGGATCATAACCAGTTACAAATTGTAACACTTTGATGGTTAGTATTTCATATGGCAGGGCATGACTGGGCACAGCTCTCCAGCAGCCATTTTGCAAAAGACCCACAAAATGCCCATCAGCCTAACCAAGTACTAAAGAAGCATTTAAAGATACAGTTTAAGTATTAATGATTTGTTTTTAAAGAATTAGGATTTAACAGAGGCAAAGGGAGAATAACACTAGTTTATATTCCAGGATATTAAGTGGCTGGAACCAATTGTATCGGCTCTGCCGTTCCATTGGACTATTTCAGTGACGTGGAAAGGGGGATCTGCTGCTTGAGTAACAGTCTATCCTCCATATTAATCTACCCAGGCCTCGTGCTAGCAAGGACACTCCAGGTTCCCAGAGCATGATACCATAGTCTTTTGAGATTGAAGGATGCCAATGAAGTTGCTTTGAGATAAAAGCTTTAAACTAAATACAGTAAAGCTATTGTAAAAGTGCCTTTTTTTGTACTTTTTCTAAATGGCCTATTACTCTGTTTCCTCAAAAATAAGACCTCCCTGGATAATAAGCCAAATCAGGCTTTTGAGTACATGTGCTAAAATATAATCCCTCCCCCCCCAAAATAATCCCTCCCTGAAAATATTGCAACACAGTAGCAGCCATGAGGTGACCACGCTCACTGCCTCCTGCACCTCAAAAATAATAAGATCTCCCCAAAAATAAGGTCAACCGCATATTTTGGGGGTCAAAAGAAAATAAGACCTCTTATTTTCGGGGAAACACGGTAGTAAACCATTGTTTTACTTTGGATATGTACATTAAGTTGCACTCAGTGCTCTGAGAAGCTACTGACGTCTTCTAATATATCCTTCCAAACAAATGAACAAAACTGGGGAGAATAAGAAATCCTTTGACTTTACATAA